TTACCTTTAGCAACCCTCATTTTATTAGGAACAACCCGGTGTGAATGAAGATAACTTACTACTCAGATGCTAGTTGGAATGTCATGCCCAGCAAATACCATTGGGATAATTATTGCTGCGGTCCTTCCTTTGGCCATGGCACATGGTCCCCTGAAGAGTTTAAAATTTCATCTTCTACTTCTACTGATGGGGACGTCCATGCTCTTCTGTACCGCTTTGTAAAAAGTCTTGTTACATTTTTGCTGACACACACAGGAGCTTAGCAAATGCCAAAGCTACTCAGTTAAGGAGAAGAAACGATACAGAGAGTAAAACAATCTTGACAGAGGGCCAAAATATCTAAGTGTTTAACCTGGAGCCATTCTGTTCGCTGTTCCTCCCTCCTGACTTGACTTGGGACAATTACAAACAAGGACTAGGATAGTTCCTGTAAGATAGCTAACAATGGGTAGATTATTTTGTTGTTGTTAATCCTCACCTGAGGATATTTTTCCCATTGATTTTTAGAGAGAATGGAAGGGAGGATGGGGGGGTGGGGCGGGAGAGAGAGAAACATCATGTGAGAGAGACACATCAATTGGTTGCCTCCCATACCTGCCTGGAGCAGGGCCAGGGATAGAACCTACAACCCAGGTACCTACCCTTGACCAGAAATTGAACCTGTGACCCTTCTGTGTCTGGGCTGATGCTCTAACCCAGCGGTTCTCAACCTGTGGGTCGAGACCTCTTTGGGAGTCGAACGACCCTTTCACAGGGGTCACCTCAGACCATCAGAAAACACATATATAATTACATATTGGTTTTGTGATTAATCACTGTGCTTTAATTATGTTCAATTTGTAACAATGAAAATATATCCTGCATAGCAAATATTTACATTACAATTCATAACAGTAGCAAAATTACAGTTATGAAGTAGCAACGAAAATAATTTTGTGGTTGGGGGTCACCACAACATGAGGGATGTATTAAAGGGTCGTGGCATTAGGAAGGTTGAGAACCACTGCTTTAACCACTTAGCAACACCCGTCAGGGCACAAAGGGTATTTTAAAGTGAGATGCACCGGAGTGCACAAGGGCCGTATATTTCTTGCCTGTTTGGGGTCATTTAGAATTGATTTCATTGTAGGTTTTTTTAAATAGGATGGGTCAGTCAGCTCTAAGTTGACTCTTTCGAAACTTCAACAGACCAAACTTTCCACCAAAAGTTTTGTTATCATGGAAATTGGGCTTAGTTTGTATCCCTCTACATTCTGCATGTTGTTTCACAGTAAAGGTGCCGAAAAATACTTAATACTGTAGAGTAACTTGCGAGCTGGTCTAGATTATGGAAATAATCTTCCCTGTCCCCCCCACCCCCACTTTCTACCATAAACAATGGTGCCTCTGTGAGGCAAGAGGGACTAACTCCATTTGTTTCATTCTAGAGTTCTCTCCACCTCCACTCCTCCATTACTCTGTACCAGGAGCATCCACCCATGCCCAAGGTTTTTCTAGCCCAGTGGTTCTCGACCTTCTGGCCCTTTAAGTACAGTTCCTCATGTTGTGACCCAACCATAAAATTATTTTCGTTGCTACTTCATAACTGTCATGTTGCTACTGTTATGAATCATAATGTAAATATCTGATATGCAGGATGGTCTTAGGCGACCCCTGTGAAAGGGTCGTTCGACCGCCAAAGGGGTCGCGACCCGCAGGTTGAGGACCGCTGCCCCCAGCTTGGCTGTTAAGGTCTCCCCGTGTTTAAAACATTGGTTCTGATTCTGTGTCCCCGGATGCCTAGAGATCGGTGAAGACCTAGAGGGGAATCTGTTGGCTCTTCACAATGTTTAGTAAGACTCCATGAGCTCTGAAAATTGTCTAGAACATTCACACTTCCCCAAACGGACCTCCCAATCAATCACCAATTACTCTCTCAGCTTCCCTGACAAGCCAGTGTGGAGAAGTCAACTTAGAACACTGCTCCCGAGGAAGCCACTGTTTTTTTCTTTAAACCCTTTTCATCTTGTTTTTTGCACGGCTTGCAGCCAGAATGAGTTCTACAAAGCTGTCCTTCAAACACTGTTTATAATGTGCCCAAATAGGAAGTGTCATCGAGCTAATTGTGCTGCGGATTAGAGACTATGTCAGGAAACGTCACATTCTGTTACATTTGAATCTCTGGGTAAACAGTGAGCAAGGACGGGCTGGAAGGTGGCGTGGAAACAGTGCCCCTGGAAAGTCAGCCATGCCAAGTTGAAGGTGGTGAGGTCTCTTCCAGCTTCCCTGTCCTCCATCTTTTTTTTTTTTTTAAATCTTTTATTGATTTCAGAGAGGAAGGGAGAGAGATAGAAACATCAATGATGAGAGAGAATCATGGATCGGCTGCCTCCTGCACAACCTACACTGGGGATCCAGCCACAACCCGGGCATGTGCCCTGACCGGGAATCGAACCGTGACCTCCTGGTTCAGAGGTGGACGCTCAACCACTGAGTCACAGCGGCCGGGCCCTGTCCTCCATCTCTTGTTTGGCAGTATCCTTCCTCTCTATTTCATCTCCTGGAAACCCATGGGCAGGTTCCTGGGCTCCAGATCTGGCTGCTAGCTACAGGCTAGCGGGATTGGGCATCATTAATATTCCTTTCTAAGAATCTACTATATTTCCTCCCAGAGGCGTCAATTCAGACCCAGGTTATGCCTCGCTGGGCCGGGGCCAGAGGAATTTAGACCACAGAGCACAGAGAGCAGAAGGCAGTAATGGCTCTATTCACCCAAGTCCCTTTGCCTGAAAGGACCCTTTCACGTGGTGAGAGGCCTGAGATGTGACCGGAAGGCGGGGCTTGCGAGGCTGCCTGCCTCATTTCTCACCTTCTGTGGCTGTGTCAGGCCCCGAAATGCTCCATAAATCAGGACAGGATCGAGAAACAATTCGAAACACCATTTTGACATGTTCCTACAAACCCTGTAACTCTCTCTAGCCATTGAGTTGGTTTCCCATTTTGGCACTCTCACAAATATGTATATCTAAACATTATTATTTTACAAGTTTCCAATTAAAGGATGACTTTTAGAATAAATTTAAAAATATACAAAGAATTGAATAGGAAAATAGGGTCTCAAAAAAGTGTGGACACTGCAAAAACACACATTTTTTTTTCATTTTGAAGAGATGAAGGATAATGAAGATTGTAAGTTGACCTAAGTTCCCACCATAAAGTTTTCATTTGTAACGGTACATTCCAATTTCAAACACACTCTGATTTTGAATTATTAGCGACTTGAGGTCATCATCTAAGAAGCTCCTTGGTGACACTTCTCTGTAGCTGACATAGGCGTCCCACACATGCTTCCGGCAGCATCGCTAATATAAAGTGAGCCCACTTCTCGCCGTGGGGATGGTCACTCTGTTTGCCACTGAGAGTGACCGCCACATGGAAGGTGTTTTTAGTGGCTCTCCTCATTTTACATGTATGACATCCTATGTATGATGTGAATTCCATCTTGGGCCTCATTCTGGTCTCTTGAGCACCTTCCAACGCTTAACCCACATAGAGCATCTGCTTCATCCGATGGGTCACGAGGTCTAGTTCCATAACTAATAGAAAGTTGGTCCCGAAAGATGAGTGGACATGTGTGCCTCATTCTTACACAGTGAAGCATCTTCACTCCTCAGCACAGGTCCTGGCCAAAGTTACCAGCCTTTGTCAACAGGGACAGTATTCCTCCCCTCAACAGGCCTCTGTTGAGTGCCTAATGTATGCTGGCACCTTGCTGGGCTCTGGGCCAGAACACTGTTGAGAGAGACCCCTTAGGAAATAAGGAACCAGAGGAGCCAACAGGGGGCCATTTTTTAGACTGGGGGGGGGGGGGGAGCCAGGGAATCTGTATCGCAGGTGTAAGTGGGTTCCTCCGAGCAAGGGTGTAGAAGGACGTGAGACCCCCCCCCTCCCCCCCAGGGTTCACTGTGCAGGGACCATGGTTCCAGCTCCGGAGGCCTTTTGTGAGCAGCTCTGGGCCTGAGACACTGGGAGGCCTCTGCTGGTTGCTCTCCTGGGTTTCCTCCTCCCCTTCTACCTCTCATCAGGGAGGGCAGAGTCAGCTGGAACATGAAATCGCCCCCGCGCTCGCTGTCAGCGCCCGTGCATCTCGCGCTCTCCCTCGCCCTGTCTCCCATCGGAGTCCACGAGCCTCAGCTGAGCTCGTGCAGGATCGAGGCGGTTCCGAGCAGCACCTGTCCGCGTCAGGTCCCACGGGAGCGCATAGGTGTTGACCTGTTCGCGTGCCTCCATCTCACCTCGAGCCCCTCCTTCTAATTCTCGGTGTAAAAACAGCAAAACACACTTTGGGGAGCACGCGGAGCCCGAGTCCGCCAGTCCCCGTCCTGCTGGAAGCAGCAGAGCTGTGCCCGGGGATAAGGTTACGGCGGCCGCCAGCCACGGACTCCAGGGGTGGGGATCGGCCCGGGCCGCCCCTCCCCC